GGAGATATACGACTCCAACGACATCTATGGACAAAATACGAAAAGACTTTTTCGACTACCCAATATATATGAAGTAAGCCTGGAATACTTTTACCATTTATCGCCTTTTTTTAAATTACAATACATCACAACATATCCAACAATAACTTCTAACGAGGGCACGATACAAATGAATATTTTTGCAACTACTGTAACATCCAAAATCCTTCCATCTAATTAAGGCTAAAGAACTTGACTTCTGATAGAAAATTCATTTTCAGAAAAGGCGTAAATTAAAGTCATCCTTCGCCGTCTCAAATCTCAAATAAGAAATTATCTTTCATAGTGCGTTGTAAGCATTAACTTCATTTTATATTATTGATCAGCAGGCAGTAACTGCTACGCGATGAACTAGATAGTGGGAGCATCTATGATAGCTGGAGATGATTAATACAGTTTCGTTAGATCACTCCTACCAGCATGCAGCTAGAGAAAATTCGATTCTCCAAAATCTCAGCCGCAATGATTGTAAGGGGTTGAAAAGAAGTAAAGCAGGAAAGATTTGGAGCATCAAACAGGAAGTCGAAGGTAGTAGTAGAGGTGCTTGAAATCAAAACCAGCCTTGAAAGGATTCTTCTGGTTTGATTAGATGAAAAAGAGGGAAAAGGATGGGAATCCAAAAGGAATCAAACATGCGAAGAAAGTTGGTATAAGTATATCACACCCATCATTAACGCTAGATCCCAAAACCACAAAGATTACCAAATGCAATAAGATCATCATCTGGCAACGCATCCTCATTAACATGAGAAATATTTTCATCATTAACTTTCACTGAAACTATTAATTTTTTGTTGTGTGGTGCTAAAATAAGCTCAACCAACCTTCAGGTATCCCAGTAGTGGTCGGGGTCGCTGGTGTCACGAGTTTTCCTCCGGATCTTGACAGAGATCCTGTGGTTCGGACGTAGTTCAACAGGAGAGTTATAGCATCAGCCAACCATGACAGGCGGATGGTGAGCACACCGTCAAATGCTGTTGGAGAATGACCCATCTGGGTAGGAAAATGGAGGTATATTGAAATGGCGGAAAATTCAGAAATTCTTACAAGGTCCGAGCAAGCAATGATCAACTCCTGCTGCATTACCGCTACTTGTGGCTCATCCTGGGGACAACAAGCAAACAACAAATTCGTCAGCTCTCCAGGTGATATAGGACGTCGGATTACTTCTTCATGCACACCACGTACCCCAATAGTAACCTGAAATCACGAAGCATATTCGAAACTGGGAAGAACTAGCAAGATGTTAACTTACTTGTTTTCCTCTGACAAGCATATTGGTAATGGCTGGCGCCAGGCTATTCATGACTTTGCGAAGTCTGCCTGCGCAATATCGTACCAACCACCACAACCGAAGCTGGCAGACCCGACGGTATAAGCGCTCCATGCGTTCACGGATAGAAGCTTAAGGTAGAAAAAGAAAAGATATTTAATAAAGCATGAATTGAGGCAAATATTAGAGTGAAAGATAAATTTTTGGAAAACATCAAGATAACCTATAACCTAGCCTTACCTTGTTATACTGGCTTTCTGCGATTTAAATTCTGACAAAACTTTGTGATAGAAAAGAGGGTATGGGAAAGGATAGAGAGAAAATCAAAGGGTCGCTTAGTACAAGCTGAGTGCTAACAAAAGAAAAACTTGAAGGCAAAAGAAATTAATCAGAATTTTTTAATTTGAATGCTTACATCCATCTAAAGGTGTGTCTGGATGTCTTCTCGACCACATCGCTGCCAATGCAAACGCAAGCTGTCTTGGCTTTTCCATATCTTCCTTCTTTATAATTTCATATAGGTCATCATCTTTAAGCACCCGCACGTCTTCCTAAACAGAAAATATACCTTATTCCATTCTAAATGTAGTGACAAATTCTTTGACCTCAACCGTCGTATCGTCCTCGATTCCATCACGAAGGCTGAGTCTTGACAAGATCTGATTATTTCCATCGGTTTCTTCTAGTACATCGATATCAAATTCAACATCATCCGAGGTGGCAAAGTCAATGTGCTCTATGCAACTTGTATTGAGCAGTTGCTGCAGAATATATTTATAAAAATATACTACAACAACGACATCAAATAGCTTAAAACATACATGAACTCGCCCCATGCGGACACGAATCCCGTTGACATGGCCATTTTTCAACTGAACAAGGAGATCCAATATGTGGTCGAAGTACTCTCCCATAATGTTCTCTTCTCTCAACAAAAGGCACATAGTGGGGCGCCCAGCCAGTTTCCAGCGACGAGAAACGAATTCTATGTCGCGCTAAAAAGACACAACTCTTGAATAAATCAAGGAAAGTGTTAAAAGAAAAAGAAAGAAAAAAGAAAAGAAAATATGTGTGGTCATTTTCTTCAT